TCATGGTCTTGATGAAGTAATGGCGGGTGAATTAGTAGAATTTGAAGAGGGTACAATAGGCATTGCTCTTAATTTGGAATCAACTAATGTTGGTGTTGTATTAATGGATGATGGTTTGCTGATACAAGAAGGGAGTTCTGATCCTAACCGGATGATTATGAATTACTTTTATTCAATAGAATAGTAAATAAAAGTCATAGAATATTAAACTCGGCAGGAGTAATTTCAAATCACGAATTGACGCGAAATCCAGGCTATTGTCATTCAACAGGGTTATCCATGCAGCCGCCACGGTAGATAGCCAATGTTTCCAATGTGGCGTAATTATGGGCACTGAGTAATCTTCTGTTTATATCCCTCTTACGTAACGGTTATCATTAACGTATCTATTGTAAAAAACACATGGTGAGAGGATGGCGGTGGATATGCTCGCAATGGTAAATACATTAAACTTGCATTCATACTTAGAACTTATAGTACCACGTTATACCTTGAAGCAATTAGAATGCTTATCTCAAGTATATTCATCCAGTGTTGGAGTGGTGCAAATACACCTTTTTGGAAGAAATTCAATGTTTCCCAAGCACGTATGTACTACTAGGCAACCAAAAGCAAGTAGAAGTTCTAATAGTTGACTAATTCAAGCATCAACTCGTAGCAAATAATGTCTCAATCTTCTTCATCTTCACCCCCAAACAAATAGATATTGCCAGGAATCCATAACTTCCATCACCTATTACATCTTCTATATGCATGATGTACAGATGTAATATTGTTGGTCCTGTGAAGTGATGACTTTCACAGGAAAGTAGAAGGAAGGAAGTGGTATTTTCCTGTGATCCTAAACAATCTGAATGTGAGAAATTGCTAACTAAAAGAGAGGGAGAACGAAGGTTCTCTTTCAGATTCGATGAACTAAGGAAGTTCTTCGAAGGATGACGTAATTAATGCCGAAGGATGTTTTTCAAAACGAGTGAGTTGCAATTAATGCCAAGGGTGACCTTTTTATAGCCATCACCATCATTGCAATAAATGCATTATTTGTAACTTTTATGTATGTCTTATTCTAGATGGTTGATCCATGGTTGATCCTGTAAGTATATTTATTTGAAAGTATAAGTAAAAATTCTCTTGTTATAGTCAATAGGACTAAGTCTGAAAGCTGCCTGGACCAAGAGCGCGGATATAGAAGCAAGTACTTGGATACAGAGCTCGGATACAAAACTCGTCACAGAGGGATGAAGACCGAAGACATGCGCACCTAAAAGCCAAGTCCTTGGAACAGAGCTCAACTCCAGACACAAAGTCTCTGCACTATACATGTAGAGCCTATGGATCTCCAACTCTCCCATTGTAACACCCCAAACTTCCACATTTGCATAGAACATGTACTTCATATAAAATAAATACAATTTACATCACAAAAGTCTCACTAGTACAAGAAACTTATATACATAATTTACAATTGAAAAATTCCGAAAGAAAGTTCTTGTACTATCGCATGTGTAACAACATATATCTTCAAAATACATCAATGAACAGGTTGATCTTCAAAACAGCAGATAAGCACATTAGAAAAATAGTTACATTTTTTTCCCTTCCCCTTACTATCCCTAGACCCAGCTGAACCTACAATGCATTTTTTAAAACACAAAATGAAGGTTAGACCAGGAGGTCTAGTGAGATAATCCTTTCTTTGCAATTACAGGGTGAAGATCATCAAAACCTATTAAAATCATTATTGCAAATTTTTAAATATATTTGAACAAAAGTTGCAAATCTGCTTGCTACCCGAAGCATAAAAACAAACAGATACTCTACACACGCTCCATAGAATCCTCGACACTTACTAAGCACAAAACCCTGAAACTCCTCTGGCTCAACAGGCCAAAGCTCTTTTAGCTCTTAAGAACCAGAGCTCTTCTTATACCAAAGTCCCTCCAGTTGTCCAGAGCCTCTGATCTCACAAATCAAAATAAACAATACCAAAATCAACTAGAGGCCCCCTGGACAACCAGAGCCTCTGGTTGGACTAGACCAACATTGTTTGGAAAGAAAAGGATAAATAAGATGTAACCAAAGCCCCTCTAGTTCTTTGCTACATCTGTAAAGGATATTTTAAATAAAAGTTAAATTTATAAAATACAATAAGATTAAGAGTAAAAGATATGGCTTAAACACAGACCTCAGATACAGAGCTCGGACGCACAACTCAGACACATAACATTCATGATACAGAGCATCTGTATAGTACAAACAGAACCTCTGGATCAAAAGATTCCCAAAAATACTTGAAGATTAATGACGGAATATCCTCTTATTAAAGTGTAAACTGTAACCGACCAACAAGGGTTATGAGTCTCATTAAAGATGCATAATATCCGCTCGTGATATTATGGACATTAAAGCGGCAGTTACAAGAAGCAAAAGTATAAATATGGAGATCAAGTTACTCCAAAGGGCTGACTGAACAATTCTTTGCTCTCAAAGAAGCTTTTACCAGTGGAATTTCTATTCAATTTGTTATCCACGACTTACTTTTTAACCACGTTCTATAATAACGACAACGGTTTTATTAAGGACAACAAACTTGTTGATGTCCATAATACATTGACAATAACTACGATTGTCATGGTTTTTACTCTGGACGAATTGTCCATGAAACAATTATTTGGGTCATTTTTTGCTTTTATTTTTGCCTAGAACCTAGGATCAATTTGTAGTTGATCGTTTTTATGATTCAACCTCAAATTGCTTTGTGTGTTTTTATGTAAAAACACAACTTGTTAACAATATTCTAATGATCTTAAGTTTATGTACTTTCAATTGTTGAGTGTCGGCCAATGAAGATTTTCATAAGTAATTAAGATTTACTTCAGACAATATAAACACGGATCAGTGTCCAAACACTATATTCCTATACTATTTGGTGACTACGTAAATTAATATGCATTTTGAAATATTTGAAGAATTTATAACTCTGAAGAAATCAATACCAAAGATACAAAAACATAATACAAATCATTTGTCAATTTGGCAAAAGAATGGTCATGTTTATCCAATTTTACGAATATTTATTTTAAACGATATACACTGTAATTATAAGTGCTTATTTATCATGCCAAAATATTGTGCATGTTTTTATACATAGATTTAAGACTAATTTTTATCAAAATAATAAAGAAAATTCAAATGTATTAAATTCATATATCTGAGATAATTATTAGAAAGTTTGTTCTTCACAACCACATACTCCTCGTTTTCTTCTCACTCCACTAATCTTCACAATTAAGAGTTGTTTGGTTGTACGGAATCTAACAGGCAACAATCACATTCCAAAAAATACCCATCTGTTTCACTAGAAAATGAGTCTTTCTATAGATAGAAACCCTAATTCCAGAATCACTTTTAATGGACCCAATCTCAACCAACCGTTTCCAAATTAGCCACAGAATTCCTCTTGAATATTGATTAATTAGATATGATGCTATGTGTTCTATAATTGATTATATTGCATTAACTTCTTTCCCTGTGCCTCTCTCTCAAGGGGAAATATTTTCATTAGCACCTTTCCAATGTAGATAAGGTCCTAATTGCTTGTAACCCCTTGACCCCCTCCGTTCATGGTTGATGAGCTACCCATGAATTTCTTGTAAATCTTGATATATCTGCTTTGTTTCTAGCGTTTTGGATTTTGATAAATCTAAAAGGGTCGAAATTAAGTTCTAGATATGGAAAACCAGGGGAGAATTTTGATGCAGCGTTACGAGCTAGGAAAATTGCTCGGCCAGGGCACGTTTGCAAAGGTCTACCATGCCCGAAACCTGAAAACCAATAAAAGTGTTGCTGTGAAGGTGATTAGCAAAGAGAAGGTGATGCAGAATGGTTTGATTGACCAAATCAAACGAGAAATCTCTGTGATGAGGCTGGTTAAGCATCCGAATGTGGTTCAACTTTATGAGGTTATGGCTAGCAAGACTAAGATTTATTTTGCCATGGAGTATGTTAATGGCGGCGAGCTTTTTGATAAGGTTGCAAAAGGGAGGTTGAAAGAAGATGCCGCTAGAAAATATTTCCAATCATTGGTCGCAGCCGTCGATTTTTGCCATAGCCGTGGTGTCTACCATCGGGGTCTCAAGCCAGAGAACCTCCTCCTTGACAAATCAGGAAACCTTAAAGTTTCGGATTTTGGATTAAGTGCTTTGGTTGATTCTAAAAGGCAAGATGGTCTTTTGCACACAACGTGCGGAACACCGGCTTATGTAGCTCCTGAGGTTATTCACAACAAAGGTTATGATGGCGAAAAGGCAGATATTTGGTCATGTGGGGTGATCTTGTTTGTTTTGCTTGCTGGTTATCTTCCATTCAGTGATCCTAATTTGATGAGAATGTATAGAAAAATTAGTAAAGCGAACTTCAAATGCCCAAATTGGTTCCCTCCTGAGGTCAAGAAATTGCTTTCAAAAATTCTTGATCCCAATCCTGAGACAAGGATATCGATAGCTAAAATCATGGAAAATCCTTGGTTTCAAAAGGAATTCAAGAAAATTGAGACCTACTATGTGCCACGAAGTATTCTTGATGATGAAAATGTGATCAAATATACAGATAGTCCTAAGTGTAGTAGTACTGATCTTAAACAACTTGAAGAGAGAGCAATTAAAAAAAATTCCTCCAATTTGGGTACTTTGAAGCCTACTAGAATGAACGCATTCGATATCATATCACTTTCCCCAGGGTTCGATCTTTCTGGTTTATTTGAGAACAATGTTCCAAGTAAGAAAACAGAGGCACGTTTCACGACCAAAAAATCAGCATCAGCAATCATGTCGAAACTGGAAGAAATGGCTTCAACGGAGCAGCTTCAGATTGTGAAAACCCTAGACGGGACAGTGACGATGCAAGGGTGCAAAGAGGGGAGAAAGGGGCAGTTGGCCATACGTGCAGAAATATTTGAGGTGACTCCGTCGTTTCACATGGTGGAGATTAAGAAGTTGGGCGGAGACACCATTGAATATGAGAATTATTTCGATCAAGAACTGAAGCCTTCTTTAAAAGACATAATTTGGAAAATGACAGGGTGACCAACAAACGACAGCAACAAGTATCACAGACATTCACGATGAACATATGTTTTGCGTTATTTAAGCCTCTATCCAATAAACACATCTGCATTAGGTTTGTTCGATCGTCCATGCAAATGTATAATTCATATTGAAAACGTTGAAATGCTGATTGAAGTTTCATGGCACGTCTTCCGCTTAGATGATGAGTTAATGCAGTCATACAATCTCTCTGGTTCGAAATTCTCTCGCTGCCTTCATTTAATTACCAAGGATAATTCTTTCTCAATTTAATCTAATATCTCTCTCTCTCTCTCTCTCTCTCTCTCTCTATATATATATATATATATAGGAGTGATCAAATGAAAATCATTCCAATTTGTAAAAACCGTAAAAACTACTCTCATCCCTCGTAATCTTATGAAATTTTTTCATGAAATTGTTTCATATAATACTTTTTTTATGAAGTTGTTTCATATATGGTTATGAAATTGTTTCATATACTACTTAATAAAATTTTAATGAAACTGTTTCATGTATTTCTCTAAAATTAAAATAATGAAGATGATAATATCCATGATTAACATCCTCCACAATAAAAATGATTAATCAACCTCTTATAATTACAAAAATATGAACAAAATGAAAAATTATGATTGGTAGAATAAGGTTTTTACGGTTTTTACAAATTGAGTGGTTTTCATTTGATCGCGATCCCATATATATATATATATATATATATTTTATATACGACGAATTAAATTGACATACACTTTAGCTGCAAACCTCAAGTAAGGCGGGGTTACTACGGATTGTTGTGCAAATTATGGCCATTGGTAATTTAATCTATTTAATTTTTTTTTAATAAACACAACCACAAATATAAACAAATTGTTCAAAGTTTGAATAAAACACAACGATAACAAATATATTGTTCAAAATAAGTTGGATTGGGCTTTGAAGACGATAATGAAGTAATGGGCTAAAGGGTTTTCTTAGGGTTTCATGATAATTAAGAGTAGTTAAGGCGATTGGAATTTGGAGTTTCATCTCACGACAGTAGGATTTTTAATTAAGAATAAAACAAAATTAAAAATTAGAATATTAGATATACTATTAAAAATAAAATAAAATTATATAATATTTTAAATGGGTTGAAAACAGGTTGAAAATTTCAGCCCAACCCAACCCATTTATTTAAACGGGTTAGACGGGTTGACCCATATATTTGAATGGGTTGAAAATCTCAACTCAACCTGCTAATTTTGGGTTGGGTTAGCGGGTTGGTTCATTTTTTGCCACCCCTAGCAATATATATAAATTTGCTACGGATTAGTGACAGAGAAAGAAACACTTGTTTTTTGAATAAATAAAAAAAAGTTCAAGACCTGTCGCAAATCCGCCGCTAAATAATTCAATGAAACTACATTTACAACGGTTTTGCTACGAACCTAATTATATTTTATATTTAAGATATCAAAACATATCTTGATAAAATCTCTAACTAATCCGAAACAAATTGATATAGTTTTGCAACGGATTTTCTACGGACACGGTTACAATTGATATTCAAAAAAATTAAAACTAATTTTGATAAAAATCCGTTGCTAATCCTAGACAAATATATACATATATAGGGTTGGGTTCACGTGAGACCAAGGGTTTTTTGTGAGATTCGTAAGACCAATTTATGTTCATTGATCAACTTTATAAGCTATAATGGTCTAAAGTTGCACGGTGGCAATTTTGTGATTATTGAAAAGTCTCGTGGCAATTTTGTGATTATGAATATTCAAATTGTAGGTCTAATCCAAGGGTTGAGAATTGATCTTACGGATCTCACGAAAAACCTTTGGTCTCACATGATCCCAAGTCCATATATATATATATATATATACATATATATATATATATATGGGGGAAAGATCAAATGTTAACCAACAATTTGTGTTAACTTTGAAAACCATGGCAACCAATCAAATTTCATTTTTCTTGTAGGTTTATGTCATGTTCACATTTTAATTACAAGRGTATTTCAGTAAATTGATTTGATATGTAACTCCCAAACAATTAATAGGGAGTTACAAATCATCAAATCCCAAAAAATATGCATTTATAATATTAATATTTTTATTTTTTTTAATATTGATCTTCAATGTTCATTGTTTTATCAGTATTTAATTCGCATAGAAAACACGGTCATAAAAATTTCCGGTGTCGATCAAGCTAATATGGATAAATGCAATGGAAAATAAATCGAGAACAGTAAGAAGATTAAAATGGTTTATGATGACAATCGGAGTTCAAGGCCGGGAATTGAAAAAATTAACCAAAGCGAATGTCTTGGTAATATTTTTTTATTTTTTTTAGATTCGTTTTAATTGAAATTATGTTCATTACGATGTGTTGTGTTTTTTATAATTCATATTGTATTGATAGTTTTTTTCTTTAATTATTGAAATACGTACCTAATTCACATGTTCAAATTGAAGTACATGCACGACCCATTTTCGTATTGTCATATTACCGACTTTTATGAATCATGAACCATTGTGTTCATGTTACTTTCTATCATATGAACACAAGTGTTATTTTTTAAGCTTGATACCAAATCTTTATATTTGTGTAAGTGTTTGCACCCGGTGTTCATAGCGTTGGNGGTGAACACGATATGAACAAGAGGTGAACACGATATGAACAAGAGGTGAACCTTAAACGGTGTGGATGCAATGCATGTATAAAACTCCAATTGACAAAKGATMGCTTCTGAATGTGTTTATAATGAAGAAACTATTGTTCACAAGCTGTTCATATCGTGTTCATACCTTTTTTCTTTCTTTCGTGTAGCAGTTATTCTTATTATGTTCATATTGTGTTCATAAATGCTATGCAGTCCAAGTTCATATATATGTCAAATTTTTGTTTGTATTTGACACAATGGTTCATATATTTATAGTTGTGTTCATATAGTTCTTACATTAACAAAAATAAATTAACAAAAAAATCATAGAATTTTTTATTTTGTAACTCTCAATTAATTAATGATATGGGAGTTACATAATTTTTTTTTTACCTAAATAACCTTTTCAACTTTGTTCACTTATCTTTATGAAATTTTAAATTTAAAAAAAAAAGTTTTTATCATGATTAATCACAACCGTTTATTGAAAAATTGGATGGCCAAGATCGGTTAACAAAGTTAACACAAAAACTTTGGTTAACATTTGAACTTGATCCTATATATATATATATGCGCTACAGACTAGCTACAAATATTTTTATATTTGATACTTAAAGAAAAAACACAAAATCTTGATAGAATGTGTCGCTAATCCGTGAGAAGTGATGATCGATTTCCCAGATTAGCTATTGATATGTTATATATATGATATGATTACATAATACTATACACATGTTGACAAGGCCAATATAGTTTAGTATCACCCAGTGAAATGTATATGGCCTAATACAAGTCATTAATAACCATTAAAACTCATTAAGGCTCAATATTATTCATTAATAGCTACTGAAACCCATCAATACCAGTATAGTTCATTACCATCTGTTGTAGCCCACAATGCACAATACAGTTTATTAAGAGACACTAAATCTCATTAAGGCCCAAAACAGTTCATTAATAATAACAATGAGCAATGATCCATCAATTGCCCAATAAGTTCAATATCATCCATTATAGCCAATCAAGGCCAAATACAGTTTATTAATTATCGTTGAAAGCCATGAAGGCCCAATACAATTCATTAACAAACATTAAGTCCAATAACGACTTATCAAGACCCAATCAAGTTCAAGGGATACTAAAGTGCATTAAATCCAACAGAGTTCATTAAGAGTCATTTAAACCCATAAATATCCGATAAGGTTTATTAACAATCACTGAGTCATATATGCTTTATCAAGACCTATTATAGCTTATTAAGAGGTGATGAAGCCCATTAAGATCCGATCAAATTTATTTAGAGCCACTAAAGTCCATTAAGGTCCAATATAGTCGATTACCACCCACTAAAAATCAATGAAGGCCTAATGAGGTTTATTATGACTCTTGGAGGCCCAACACAATTCATTAAGAACCACTAAAGCCCATGAAGACCCAATATAGTTCATTTATTGACACTATAACATGTCAAGACCCAATATAGTTCATTAAAAACCACTGAAGCTAATGAATGCCCAATATAATTCATTAAATTCATGAGTTCAATACGACCCATCAGTTACCAATATAGTTTGTTAAAAGCCACTAAAGTCCACCAATACCATACATATACACATAAATACATACTTATATAGACATAAATACTTACATACACACATATAGACATACATACTTACTTTCATACATAAGCATATATAACATGCATACATCCATGTATAAACATACATAGTTACTTGCTTACATGCGTTCATCACATACATACATACATATATGTATACATCCACATACATGCATAGGAGGAATATTATATAAAAACCGTCTAAAAGTTAATAAAACGGCAAAGCCAATAAGTATGTGTTGTTTACAACACATGAATTTGGTTTTTATAGTTTTCAAAGTTTTGGACGGTTTCTCTATGATTTCCCGTCTACATGCATATTGCCACTCCATACATAAATATATCACACATATGTTATATATATATATATATATATATATATATATATATATATATATATATATACATATATATATATATATGCACACAGAATGCATAGAAACATATGTGCTTAATTAAAAACATACATGCTTACATACATATATACTTTTATATAAAAACCATATATTAGTTAAATTTTATAAAAGTAAATATACAAATGCATTTCCTAAGTAAAATATTTATTAAGCGATCATTACTTATTTTAAATTAAAGTTTTATAAAAATCAAATATTAAATTATTGATTAAAATTTCCCAAAAAACATAAAATGCAAGACAGTGGTATTTTGTTTATATTGGGAAAGGTACTTGTAAATGAACATGTCTCCATGTTGGCGGATCAC